CCGCGAGTTTGACCCTTTCAGAGAGTACAGATTACTTTTATAATGAGAAAATACAGATGTAGAAGGAAGGAGATGGGAAGGAAAAAAAGTCACTGGGCAAAGGAGTAGTTCATGTCTATACCTTTTAGGGGACTGAGTTCTGGTCTCAGACCCCAATTCACAGCCCAATGGAGGCCTGCACACCTTACCTCCAAAGGATAGAGAAGACAATGAATCCTTTGGCCCCTATTCTGTGCCAGGCACTGAGCTAGGCACTATCTTGTTTAATCCAGTAGCAATTCTGTCAGGAGTGATTACTATTCCATTTTAGAGCGGTTCACTGACTTGCTCAAGATCACACAGTAAATGACAAGGGCAGGACTGGAGCCCAATTTGTCTGAAGGCAAAACCTGTGCTCTCTTCCCTAAACCACTGTTCTCCCAGTGACCTGAGCAAGCTCCTCTCAACTGGGAGTCAGTTATCTCTGGGCCAGCGGTGTCCAGGGGGTTGTTGGCAGGTACCATCGAGTCGGTCCTGACTCATAATGACTGTTTGTATAACAGAAGGAAACACTGCCTGGTCCTGTGCCAAGCTTACAATCGTCATTACGTTTGACACTGGGCCAACCCTCTTGTGTGGGGTCTTCATATTTTGGGTAACTTTCCAGGTAGCCCCTTCCAACTGACTGTAGTAGCTTCTGACTGCAGGTATCCCTCAGCCAAGGACAAGGAGACCTGGGCCTGAAGAGTGCAGTGGTCAAGGAGAAGGCATCAGGAGAGGCCTGTGCTTTGGTAGGAACTCAGACAGGGTGCCTCTGACTGGAGATGCTGCAACAGTGCCTCTGCCCCAAAGGACCCAAGCATTTCACATTTTGCTGACTCCCAACATCCTTGTGAAATAGGAGAAGGGTGGGTGTGTTCCCACCCCTTCCCCTCTTGCTAATGGTAAGCCCACTCCCTTTCCTCAGTCACTCACAGATGCAGGCAGCCCTCCAGAGGTGAGAGGCAGAATTCTTTAAGAGAACACCATTTAGATGCCATCGTTCAGTGCTCACGGGAGAAAGGTGTGGCCTGCCATTCCAGAGAGCTTGCCAGGGTAGGAGGGGCACCTGGAGCCTGTGTTCAGCTCTGACACCTCAGAGGTCTGTGAGCATCTCTCATCTCCCCAGGGCCTGGAAGCCTGGAGAAGAGGCTCTCCTAGACCTCACCTGGAAGAGCAGCTCCTTGGTGTGGAGGTCATACACCAGGCACGTGTCATTTTCGTCCACCACGGCCAGCTTGTTGCGGGAGGCACTCATGTCCAGGCATCGCACGGCTGTGGCCTGCTTGAGCAGGACGATGGCAAAGAGATTGTCCACGAAGATCTTTAGGATCTGGCGAAATTTCAAAGAAAAGTGTGTGTCACCATGGCAACAAGACTCTGGCTCACTGCCAGGCTGTTGAATCCCCATGTGTTCTACAAGGACAACTTCCACGAACTTCAGACGCTCCATACAGAGAAAAGCATTCATCAGAAAGAAGCGGGGGGTTCTTATCATTGAAGGACAGAAATGAGGTTCATCATAGGTCACCAGAGTAAAGGCAGGTCCCAAGACATACCAGGTCTGGGGATTTGTTGATGCCACTGCCTAATCTGCAGGGTTAGGGGGCACGGTCTGAGTCGTGCACTAACTAACACAGCAGGAGGCCACTATAAAGTAGCCTAACCACAGCTAAAGAAGGGAACGACATGGATGACAGCCCTCAGTGACTATTTTAGACAGACCTGTGAAATAGTTATTGTCCTCATTTGTAAAACCTGAGCTGTAGAGAGCTGAAGGGACCTTTCCAGGGTCACACAGCTGGTGAGAGCTCAGCACAAACATAGACCCAGCTTGCCCTGCCCCCAAAGCCCAGGCTCTCTGGTGCCTAGGAGAAGCAGGCCCATCGTCCTGTACGGCTGGGTATCTGCTGGAGTTCTCTCTGCTCTCTGCTCCACGGCTTCCATGTCCAGGAAAGACTGATAAGCCTCAGCCAAAAGTCATCTGCTAGACATCTGGGCCCTTAGGCTAATAAAACTACATTTTCTCTGTCACAGTTCCACATGGCCCATTTAGAACGTCACATACACAGATATCTGCGTAACACTGTGTGACCTAGATTTGCCACACTGAAAGATCCATTTTAACATCTAGTGATGCCCGGAGGGCCACATTCTGAGACACATGCTGGTAAACACTGCCCTAATCCATTCATTTCCAGAAGAGGGAACCCACCTGTTAGTATCTCTGCCTCCCTCTCCAGCAAGCCACTGACAAATCTCCACCTTCTGGGTGACCGTAAGTCCACTCATCTGGTCCACTCAGTGCAGCCCAGAGGCCATTCTGCCAACTTGGCCAAATGTGGGCAGGCTATGAATCAGAGGATTACTACTTCCTGGGCTTGACAGTTAACCAAACTCAGCTGTGTGCTGCCCTCCAATGCTTATCCTGGGGAAAACACCATGGGGTCCTAACTAGTCTGGATACCTTGGTCTGCCATGATGCAGCACTCACCTGCCCATTCTTCAGGCCCACCAACAGACCTTCTCTCCCAGGAGGGCCACCGATCACCTTGATGTAGCGAATGAGAGACTCCATCTGCCACTCCCGCTCCTTCATTCCACTGAAGGACAGACACTGCAGCCTTTTCTCCTGGAAAGCAAACCGGATCTGCACGGGCAGGCAGCAGAACACGAGTTCCCAGCCTCCTGGGGAGGTCTCCCTGCAACTAAGGTCAACACTCTGACCCCATCTAGTCCCCAAGACTGACATCATCAAGGCATCCTGAAAGTCTTGCCCATTGAGCTCAAATCTGCCATGCAGACCTCAGCCCAGTTGGCCTGAAGTGACATCCAAAAGTATACCTAGTTCTTACGCTTATCTGACGGGTGGAGTCCTGGTGTGGCGCTGTGGGTTAATGCACTGAACTGCAAAGACGCTTTGAACCACAAGGTCGGCTGTTCAAGCTCACCAGCCACTATTCAAAAACTCCATATAGGGTTGCTATGGGTCAGAACTGACTCGATGGCACTTAACAACAACAATCCTATGGACACCAGGGCTACTTTGTTGTCGTTGTTAAGTGCCATGGAGTTGGTTCTAACTCATAGCAGCCCTGTATAGAGTTTCCAAGGAACGGTGGGTTTGACCTGCCGACCTTGCAATTAGGAGACCAAATCCACCTCTATGTCCAAGAAAGATGCTAGCCTGGACACTTTCTAGGAAGCAAACTCTTAAGTTGAGAAAATTTTCGGTTGGGAAAAAACCTCTCAGGAAGTAAAATTTCCTTGACTATTTCTGAGTTGATACCACCAAGTTTGGAGTTCTGGTGTGGCACTTTAGGATAAGCACTGGTTTGCTAACCACAAGATCAACACTACCAGCCACTCCTCAGAAACCCTATACAAGATCATACAAGATCACTATGCGTCGAAACCGACTCGAAGGCACTTCACCACCACCACCACCAAGTTTTGTGTGTATATACTTACTATGGTGTAGTGAATTACCTAATGTCTTTTCTAGCCAGTGTCTGTAACTTCACCAAACAATGTTTCTGCCCTGCTGGGTTGGGTACGAGGAGCTGGAAGAATATACTGATAGGATGACACGATTCAGTGGATTTTAGCCAAGTCCACTGTAATTGTAAAACCTTGGAAATCTAACCTGGGTATAAAATGAACTATTTCAGAAGCAGAAGGGGTGGTTTCACTATCATCAAAAAAGACAGACCCAGGAGTAGAGCACATCCTTTGGATCCCAAGATCCCTGCTCCCTGGCCCTCCTTGACCCAGGAAGAGAAAGCTGTGACACCGGGGGAGTGACAGCGGAGCAGCAGAGGAACCAAGAACCAGAGCAGTGGGCTTCCCAGCTCATTTTGCTGAGCCCTGAGTGCCTTCAGGCTAAGGCTTCTTTATGGTGGAGTGGTGTGTCCTGTGGGTTTATCGTAGCCCTGACAGAGCTCTGTACCATCAGCCGGACAGACAGAGGCCTGCCTGTGGGCACAGCTGAGAAGAGGCTGTCCTGGCTGGAACAACTGTGCCCTGAGCATTTTTGACCCTGACCTGTAACCTATTAGCTTCCTGTAACTACAGCCCATGATTGAGTGTGGTATCTGAGTTCTGTGTGGCCTCTACAATGATTTATATTGAACCTAGCTGAGCACAGAGGGTTGTGTGAGGAATGCTTTGATGTTACATTTTTTTCTTTTTTTCCATTTACTAGAAAAATAGGCTGACCTTCATTTTGTGGGATAACAATTTGCATTTTAAATGATGAAAATATACCTAATTATCTAATACCAGGATAGCAACATGATCTGTGATACAAAAAGGTATTCTCCATTTATGGCCCATGACTTTCTAGTAGATTCTGGCTCATCTAGATGTCAGTAAAATGGAAGCAATGAGCAGACACACTAGTAACCAGATGTGAAAACATACTCTGGGCACCCTGCCGTTAGAGGAGCAAAAACGTGGCTCCACCTGGCCGGGCCCATGCACCGCTGCCCACCTGACAGAGGATGATGTGATCTGCACACACCACCAGGAGGTTGCATTCAAACTTCTTGACAATCCTCTCCTTCACCCGGTAATGCATGTCTGACGAGTCATCTGAATACAGCTCATAGATGAGGATTTTCTCTGGCAGTTGGATAGCTAATCGATTTTTGTAGATGGCAATTTTCTTGACAAGCTCTTTGCATTTAATCCGAACTGTCAAAGAAGAGAGAGAGAAAAAAAATCCAGCTCTAGCAAGGGGTTGTTAAGTAGAAGGCAGAGAAATTAAAAGCTATCATTTACTTAATGCTACTGGCAATTAAAGTGAGACACTCTCATAAAAAAATCTTTACAGAGTATCTGATATGTACTCTGTAAAAGTCATATACAATACAATCTTTGTGGTCAAAAGCTTGCAATTAAGTCTGGAAAACTTTAGATCCATCTCTTGTTGGATCTAAAGTCCTCTGCACAGCACACTTGGGGCCTGACCTCGGCCACTCACCCAGCACCCTGGACAGCACACTCTCACTCCAGAGCAGGTGGAGACCACCGCCCAGAAGGGAGCCTGGGGAGCTGTCCAAGTGGCTTGATTCAGATCAGCAAACAGAGGTGCTCCTCCTAGGTGGGGCCCTCCTTCAACCTGAACCTCTACACACCCCCACACCTACAAGTGCCTCTGGAACAAAGGTTATCAGTCTGCAGAGACCCGCATAGGTCAACCACTCGGTCTGACTTGTCACAACTTACCGCACCTTGGCCAGCGTGCCCGTGTGCCATGTAACCCTTGGAATTATCTGCAAAGTTTTGTGTGTCTGTTTTTTTTTTTTTCAGAGAGAGCGTTTTATTTCATTTAAAAACCAACCAAGCAAGAGGCAGGGGTTGAACACATTGTCAAAAGACCATCATTTGACTCCTTGTCACCAGCTCCCTGACCCTGTGTCTGTGGTCAGAGGGGCATACCTGCCTTTTACCTTTCTGCTCGGTTATCAGGTGCTGTACGATGACATCAGTCATGCTGTCCCTGTAAGCATACCGATCTTTGTAGAGCCCATGCACTGTGCTGAAAATAAGCTGGTAGAAGGAAATGGTGCCATCCTGACAGCCCACCACCTGCAGCGGGAGACAGCTGTCAGTTCCCAGCTCCGTGGAGGAGTCTAACCTCCTAGGAACAAAGGCAGTGAGGTGACTCGCGTTCAGTGCCTCAGCAAGTAATGCCCAACAAAAGAAACCTTCTCTTACCACGTAGTTGGAATCAGGTTTCACTCTACATGTCCACACCCAGGAGTTCTGCTCCCCAACCGTACCAAGCTGCACTCCGTCCTTGGTGAAAAGGGATACTTGCTTGTCTGAGCCTCCCAGCAAAATGTATTCCCCTTTAGTAAAGTAGCTGATGCAGCAGGGGTCAAAGTTCAGTGGCCGATCCTTCCCAATCTGTGGAGAAAGAGTACACACCAAAGGAAAACAATTTCTGAATCCATTATAGACACAAAACTTCTCTACCAACTTGAGTGGGAGGAAAGGAGCCCTGATAGCACATTGTTAAATGGCCAGTTGGAGGTTCAAACCCAGCCGCCACTCCACAGGAGAAAGACGTGACAGCCATTAAGAAAGCCTACAGACAGTTCCACTTAGTTCTATAGGGTCACAAGGAGTCACATCGACTTCATGGTTAACAGGTTTGGTTTGGGGTTTGAATGTTATTCCACTGCAAACAGCCTGTTCCTCCCTCCATAAAGCCAATCCCTGACTGCTGGGGGGTGGGGGGATGGTTTCCTGTCCCACCTCACTGCTACAGGAGTGTCCTAGCTCCTGGCTAATCTAGAGTCCTGGGCGCCAGGAACAGTCTTTCTTTCACAGGCCCGTCTCCACACACAGCTCCCCCCCTTCAAAGACCCCACCTCCACCTGCATTTCCCCCCAATATTTTATGCATCTCCAATAGATGTATTTAACACCCATTCAATCTACATCGCGGCAGTGTACAATTCAATGGTTTTCAGTACGAGTACACTCATAGAGAACTGGAGGGGTACTGGAGGATACGTGCTAGACCAAGAGGTTGGTTTGAACTGCAAACTCACTAGCCAACCACTCCTCGGAAACCCTACGCAGGGTCATGGAGTCAAAACTGAGTTGATGGCACTTCACAGCAAATTCATAGAGCTGTGTAACTATCAACACAATAATTTTAGAAATTTTCATCTCCAAAAAAGGAAGCAAATATCCATTAGCCGCCACTCTCTACTCCACGTCTTCTAGCCTCCAATCTGTTTTCTGCTTCTGTGGATTTGCCTCTTCTGGACAGTTCGTATAAACAGAGTCACATCATCTGTGGCTCTGAAAGCCTACGCTAATAGGACTTCTGTGAGTTGGAAGTGACAGCATTTAACAACAATGTTGTGACTGCTTCAGCTATGATTAGCATATATCAGCACTTCTTTCGTTTTTATTGTGAGACCCTGTGGCTTAATGCACCAGGCTACAAAAGTCATTGGAACTGCAAGTTTGGTGGTTCAAGCTCACCAGCTGTTCCTCGGAAACCCTATACAGGGTCACTATGGGTTAGAACCAACTCAACAGCACTTAACAACAACAACCTGGCTCTACAATATTTTGTTTATATCAGCTGATGGACGTTAGGATTGCTCCTGTTTGGGGCTATTATAAATAATGTTGTTATAAACATTCACGTTTGGGTGTAGACATGTGTCTTCATTTCTCTTCATTCATTCTCAAGTCGAAATGAATCATAGAAACCTTTACGAAACAAAATTACCAAAATGCGAAGCTATCACATCAAGTATCAATCCTAGCCCCTCTGTACACAGGGGAGATAAGGATGGGGAAGTCAGACACTAGCTACCTAAAATGAGGTGACTGGTTTCCAAGGTTTCAAGAGGAAGTTCCGTTTCAGAGGGCACGGGGGAAGGTACAGTAAAAAAAAAATTAAGTGAAGTTATTGTTTCCTGACATATATAGTTTTGAAGGCAGTATTTCCATCTCTCTAAGCAATGGACTACTCACCTCAAGGTCTGTGGTTCAAACCCACAGCTGCTCCTTAGAAACCTTTACAGGATTGCTATGAATGAAAACTGACTCAACGGCACTTAACAAAAACAACTACACTTCCCCAAAGAATTCTGTGTTCTGTGCTTGACACACATCAAAACAGTAGTTTTGGCATCCTTGAGGGACTCAAACAGAGTTCCTTTTCAATGATTTTTTTTTTTTTAGTTTGCGGAGCAAAAAGGACTCTGGTGGGGCAAGGATTGATGGGATATGTATGGTTTTCCAGTGAAATTCTCAGAGATCAGCCCTTGCTACCCTCAAAGAATGAGCAGGTGTGTTGTCCTGACAGAAAAGAATTCCTTGATGCAAGTCTCCTGGCCTTTTTCTCACCAATGGACCGTTCGGTTTTCTTCAAATGTCTTCCTAATAAGTCCCCTTTATCATCTTGTGTTCCTTGAGAAACTCTACCACGATTATAGGGTTTCCAAGGAGGAGCCGGTGGGTTCGAACCATCAACCCTGTGGTTCAAACTGACTTTGCAGTCCAGTGCTTACCCTACAGTGCTGACCCCCAACCATAACCCTCTAAGCTGACCACTCTGCTTTGAATTTAACTGGCCCAGAAGATCCCCTTAGAAGCCACTGTTTTGATTGTGCAGGGTTTTGAAGGCACCATGATGAGCCTAAGTATATTCCTGAGAGAATCTGTCTGCAGGTTTCCAATGATTGCAGAGACATGCTTAAACACATGCTTAAACACACTTTGACTGGAATAAACCTGTGCATTTATGTACTATGGAGTCCTGGTGGCTCTGTAGGATAAGCACTGGACTGCTAACCACAAGGTTGGCAGTTCAAACACACTGAACACTCCACATGGGTGAAATATGAGGCTTCTGCTCCCATAACAATTTACAGCCTCAGAAATCCTACACAGGGTCACCATGAGTAGGTACTAATTTGACAGCACTTTAGAGGCCAAGATAGGCAGACTTCATCTCTCATACTTTGGACATATTGTCAGGAGGGACCAGTGGCTGGAGAAGGATATCATGTTTGGTAAGGTGGAAGGACAGAGAAAAAGAGGAAGACCCCCAACGAGATGGAGTGGCCAACTGGCAGCATCAATGGGCTCAAGCGTGGCAACAGTAGTGAGGTTGGCCTAGGATCAGGCAGTGTTTTGTTCTGCTGTGCATAAGGTCGCTATGGGTCAGTACTGACTCAATGGCACCTAACAACAACAACAGCAACATGTACATTTTAACTAAGCTTCATATACCGAGGAATGGAGTTGCTGCATCTTTTCCTATTCCACCAGTGGTGTATGAGGCTCAATGGCTCCAGCCCAGGAATGTCAGGTGGGACCTCAACTGTGGCTTGCATTTGTATTTCCCCGGCTGCTACCGACTTTCGAGCATCTTTGCGTGTGCTTATTGACCATTAAAAATCTTATTTGGAGAAGTGTCTATTCAGATTCTTAGCCCACTTTTTAACTGAGTTGTCTTTTTATTAATTATCAGGTCATAATATTTCTTAGAATATTCTAAATACGAGCTATCAGACAGATGAATTATGAAACTTTTCTCCTATTTTGTAGGATTTGCTTCTTCAGTTTCTTGACGGTGTCCCCTTCACTTTCAGAATGAAGGTTTAACTCCTGAGCTTAGCGTCCAAGGTGGAGGCTTAGTTTCTGAAAGTGGACCACGATCCCCGAGGCTTCCATGTCCATTCCCCAGCCCACTCAGGCGCCAGAAGTGCACTTGGACCAGGGGTCACCTCCTTCAATAGACACCTCAATCTTCCCACCTGAGCTTGATTTAGGCCCAATGGGATTCCCTCTGTGCTCACAGCCCCAGGCTGCCTCTAGGACAGTACTTCTCTTCCCATCTGTAGTTTAATCAGTGTCTCCCTGCTAAAGTGGTCACTGCAGTTTTCTGGTACCTGTTTCCTCTGAGGGTAGATTTTGTGAATAAAAAGACTATGTGTGGTTGCCACTGTCAAAAGAATATTCAATTTATTAAGAAATAACTCTAGAAACCTGGTTTTTCCTTAAGTTTTTAAAGTATAATTTAAAATATTTTCCGATTTATAAATTCAGTATAAGTAAACAAAGCACAACTTGGTTAATTCCCTGCAACTTATTTAAACTAAAGGATAAGCAATGGACTGCTAAACTCATAGCTCACATGAGTCGGAACTGACTTGAAGGCACGTAGCAACAACAAACAGTATATTTAATACATTCCATTTCCCTTTTAAAGAATTTTAAATGGCTAAAAAACAAGACTTTCTTTAGTACTTAGACGATACTAGTGAATCTAACAGGAAAATCTGGGACCTTGTGAATTGCAGCATGGATGGTTTCAGGTTCCGGTAACAAACAGCTCAGTGGCTCCTATGGAACCAGCCCTCCTACAGGTAACAAATATAAACTCTGGACCAAACAAAAACCACCACCCACCCCTCGATGGTCCTGAAAGAGCAGCCACAAGAAGGCAGAAGCTGGAGCACTTTGAAAGAAGAGAAGGGCACTAGATGAGTTTTCCTTTTTTTTCCCAGAAGACAGGTCCAGGAGAGAGCTGGAAAGTAAGATGGAAAATCCCAGAAAAGAGAAAAACAGAGAGGTGAGTCTAAATTCGGATGGGTATCTGGAGGCCGTCTGAAGTGCCTATGTGTGGGCCAGATGCCAAGCAACCACGCTCAGCCTAAAAGAACAGAACAGAGGTTTCAGCTGCTGCCCACCACAGGAAAAGAGGACATGTGAATTATAAATGCAGTGAAGTTAAATGTCTGCTAAAACCAGCAAAAATCTTCAGGGAGCCTAATAGAACCGGAAATCTCAACAATGATTTCACAATGTCTAGGCCATAAACCCGAATTCCAAGTAGCAGGAAATAATGAACCATATTCAAAAGGAAAGACTATCAATGGAGACGAACTCCAAGATGCTGGGATCCACACATGAGAATTTTATAACCAGCTCCTATAACTATTCGTGGCAGAAAGTGAGGCTTTCTGCTCCCACCAAGATTTAAAGCCTTGGAAATCCTACACAGGCCTGCGTGGAGCAGGAACAGACTCTCAGGGACTAAGAACAACAAAACTGTAAGGAACCCTGGTAGTGACGTGGGCTAGGTACTAGACTGCTAACCGATAGATAGGTCAGCAGTTTAAACCCACCAACTGGAAACCCTTTACAGGTTGCCTTTGAGTTGGAATCGACTGGATGACAAGGGATTTGGTTTTGGTTTTATTATGCTCAATATAGAAAGGGAAATCTGCTCACAATGAATGTAGCATATTCACAGCACATGTTTAACGTAACAGAAGATGAGAGAAGCATCAGTGAGACGGAAGATGCAGCATTAGACGTCATCCAATCTGAAGGTCCCGCAGGAAAAAATGAACAGGGTCTCAGTGACTTGGCCATAATATCAAAAAATCTGTAGGTGTAACTGCAGTCCCAGAGGGACCGGCGACAATGGGGAAGAAAACATATTTGAAGAAACAATGGCCAAAATTCCCCTACATTGGTGAAGGACGTGGTGAGTGTGCTGAGTCAGGGAGCTGAGCTCCTTGCCTGCTACCAGGTCACGGCTAGGAATGTGCCTGTCACCCTCTTTTGTGTCCCTCACCTTGCTGCCTGCACAACACTCCACTAATGCCACTGACCGCCCTGCACTGGGACTGGCTGTTCTCATCCCCCCACTGCACCCCCAGCCTGAGAGCTCTCATAGGGCAGAGGTGCGGACCTACACAGCCTAGGTCAGTGGGTCCCAGCACTGGTTGATGGGTGGCCACCGTGGCTCCTCATTCAGATTTGTAGTGTGAGAGAAAGCCAATACAAGAAGGAAGGGTCAGGATGAAGAGCAAGGCGTTGAGTCAAACTGATCTGTGTGCTTCATTCCCAGGCCCCATCATTTATTCACTGTGGGCCATGGGCATACATCCCCTCTGCTCTGCGTCTTTTGAAAATGATGACAATGAAAGTACTTACTTCACTAGAATGTTACAAGAATTCAATGAGATCACGTATGCAAAGCCCAATTCCTTGTATCATGGTAAATGCCCAACAGGCAGAAGCTAACAATAATGGTAAATAATACTGATGAAACTACTACAGAAGGAAAAAGTATACTTTAACAGGCATGACTGCAATGCTATCTCCACTGCACTTGGACAGAGATACATACCTGCTTTCCACTCAGCTGGTAGAAGGAAAGTTTCTGTCCCCAGTCAGCTACAGCCAGGATGTCATTATGTTCCTCTCTAATCAACACAAGACAAAAGAGGTTACATGGGGCCATGGCCTGCTGAGGAGTGCAGCCCTGAGGCTTTCAGAAACAACAGGAAAACAACGCCCTGGGCCAGCCTGTCAAGTTGCCAAATATTGGACAGTTGCACTGAAGCCAAAAAATTGTAATGTGCTCATCAATCCATCATCAATCAGCTGAATGAGAGACACAGAAGTGAAGCTTGAGGTCCTCCTGGAATCTACTGTTTCACTGAATCCCTTGCCCAAGCTTATGGTGATGGGGCACTGCCAAACTGAAAAGGATAAAGCCCTCATTTCAAAGCTTTCTGGGAAGCAGAGCTAAGAGTGAGCAAAGGTGCAGATCCAAGAACTCGTGCTAAGCATCTCGGGAGGTGGATGAGAAACACATCTTTGTGGTGGAAGGATGTGAACTCTGACTTTACCAGTGGACAGTGGGGAACACTGCTTGCTCTTCCCTAAGAAAGACAACATCATCCCTAGAAACCAGCTTCTCTTAGTTAGGGTTCGTTCCCACACAGTTGTAATGGTTCCTGGTTGAGTCTAGTGGACCTCTAAGGACCAACAACTGTCTCTGAAACAGAGTGACTAACAGGACTTCTGCCTTGGGACTTGACTATAAAAGTAGCACAAAGTGATGATGCATGGAGAGGATTCATGGCAATGAAACGATATACGATTGGATGAATGTAAAACTAATGTTCTCCCATGTAAAAACTATCACATAATTCACAATAAAACATTAAAAAAAAAAAAAGTAGCACAAAGGCATAGTCCCCACGTCTGAGCTGGGCACCAGACTACTAGGGAATCTAGTTTCAGACAGGCCTTGTTTTGAAATACAGCCCAGAGTTACAAATCATCACAGGCACGAAGTCATTACTAGGGGGAAAAAAACAAAAACCAAGAGGGATATGAATAGCAATAGGTTATCACCAGCTCCTATAGGTAAGCTCTGTGGGCTGGCACTGAATTCAAAACCAGTCCAGGAAACCAGCCCCAAGTGAGCTCTCTTGGAGAGACCATACAGGTTCTGGATGAGGGTCCGTACCCAGCAGCTACATTGATGGTTTCCAGCATCTCTCCACCCCCCTTAGCAGTAGGATCCTACACACAAAAAAAACTTGAGGGGAGAAGCTCTGGTTAATGTTCAGATTGGACCCCGAAGCCCAAAACACCCTCCTAGTGTTTGTCCCTTCCTCCCACCCTGTGACCCCTTGGGCTCTTCCAAGGAACCCCACATGCCATAGAGAAGAGTGTGGAAAAGTCCAAAGCTAAATTACCACTGCTCAGTCAGAATGTCCTGTGCACCCCACCTTTGCTCACTCCTGCCTGCCAATGTTTGCCCCAGGTAATGTCACAAAGATGGAGTATCACAGTGGCAGCAACAATTGGCTCAGACGTAACAGCTGTGAGGATGGTACAGGACCATGCGATGCTTTGCTCTGTTGTGCGTAGGGCTGCTATGAATTGGAACCCACTCTACAGCACTAACAACAATGTCAACTGAAGGGAAAGAGGAGGCCTGGATGTGAGAATTGTGGGGAGCATATGGGATTCCCCTCTGGTGTGTTTCCTGCCAAGTGCAAACTGGGGTGTTGTGTGGGATGCGTAAGAAGGGTGATGTCCAAGAATTATGGTGCCCCCATGCAAGGGTACACTATACAGGCACACAAAAAAAGTCGCAGTTCCAAAGGACTTCTAATGCTACTAGGAAGAGTTCACTCTGGGATGTTAGGTGGAGGCCAAAAAGAAAAGGCTATCGTTTAGTTAACTAACTACAGGCACTCACTGAAAGACTGGGAGGAAAATCACCAAAATGCTAACTGTGGTTTTCTAAGGGGAGGGGCTTTAGAAAACACTTGAACTTTCTCCTTTAGACATACAGTATTTCCTAACATTGTTTATGGGATAGGTGTATGCCCCCCACCCCCAACTTGGAAGACTGTGTTCCCTTGCCAGAGGAGAGGTTTCAGCAACAACACACTGGCCCTTCATTGCTCCCCAGGTCTCCTCTGGGCAAGGCGCCCACAGTGTCCTTGGCCTCCACAGGTCTGCCTGGAGGGTTCTCACTCCTCGGGACCCACTCACAAGTTGTCGTCCTCTTCCTCTTGCTCTTCCTCCTCTGCCTCACTACCCTGACTACTGTACACTGCTGACTTCCAAGAAGAAGGGAGCTCCTGAAAATATCTGTTGACCATGACTTCCTCGGCATCCTCGTTCTCTTTGTTCATCCAGAAAGTCTCCCATCGGCTGTAATCAGTAAGTGGTTGTTCATAATCACGTTGCCTAGAACTACACTAAACTTATCATTTCAAAACCTGTCAAGAAGTTCCTGAGCCCTATCCGGAGGACAACTACCAGGTACACTGGGCATCCTGTTTCTCATGAATTAAAAATGGTACCCTGAAACCACAGAGTCATCTGCGGCCACAAAACCGAACAACAGGAACTCTGAGGTAAGCTAATGGCCCGTGAAGGCATTAGACAGGCATGGTCCAGCCCATGGAGGGACAAAGGACGTCAGGAAGAAGCACAGTAAGTTGGTGTGGGGCGGGCAATGGATGTGAACAAGCTTCTAAATCAAGTAAGTGCCCACCTAGAAAATGACACTGGGCTGATAAACGAGAAGTACTTGGTGGTAAGGTGACCTCTAATTTACCCTCAGAGGACTCTGGGGGATGCTGACAGTAATACTACTACAGGATTACACAAACAGGACTGATCGGGAGCTACTGGTCCTCCCTCCAAGTCACCTGGGTCTAGAAAGGAAAGAATGCGGAAGGTTGGAGAAGGAAGATGCCAATTGTTTACCTGCCTATAGGCTTTTAGGGAATGTCAAAGGCCAGGAAAAAGCTATCTTTATCTCTTATTGAGCAGACATGGAGGGAGGAATTGAGAAAGGAAAAAGATGAATATCGATGTGAATTCCTAAGCTTGTCCTACAGAAATACTGCCACGGAGCGAGTTACTAATCCACAGGGATACGAGTCATTCCCCTGCCATTCACCTCACACACACACACAAGGGCACCCCCCCACATATGCACAAACAACACACAGCATACACATGTATACACATACCAGGATCCATCACAGGTCACACACATGTGCACATACCACACATATGTACATACCACACATACAATGTGAACTCACACATGCGCACATGCCATACACACATCATATACACCACACCTATGTGTGCACACTCCACACATAGCTCACACACAAGTACACAATACACACTACACACAGGCATGTGCACACACCACATACCCCACACATGTGAGCACTATATACACCACACATGCATGTACATACACCACACAATTGTGCGCACACATGCATGTGCACACACACATGCATTACACACACACCATGCACACACCACACCTGCATGTGCACATACTACGCACACACCCCACACAAGTGCACACTACATACACCACAAATGCATATGCACACATCACACACACAAGTGCACACTACATATGCATGTGCACACACCACACATACCCTCACACAAGTGCACATTACATACACCACTCACACAGGTGCACATACCACACACACCCCCCCACACACAAGTGCACATACCATACACCCCACATAAGTATGCACTACATACACAACACATGCATGTGCACACACCACAAATGTGTGTACTGCATGCATGTGCACACACCACACACACATGTGCACAGGCCACACACACAGAGATGCACTGTGGGCTGGCCTAGATAATGAATCTGCTAAATCTCTGGGACTCATTCCAAAACTCAAGATGAACTCTTAAAAAACATCATTCAAATCAAACAAGTTCAGAATAAGGCCATTTAAATGGAATAAGAAATCTTGTGACTAGCATGAAGACCTCAAGGAGAGAGAAAGAATCTGGTGCTTGTCCTAGAAGGAGAACAGCTGTTAAGTGTACCTTGAAGGGTTCCAGCAGATGGACCATATTGGGGAGAGGGGGCCCCCTGGCCGCTCAATCTTCACTTTCTCCTCACCGTTTTTGTTCCGGATGCTGATGACCCCATTGAACATCCCCAGAGCCAGGTACTGGCCATCATTAGTCCAGCTGTGTACACAAACAACAATGAGTACGGGAGAGGAAAAGGAAGACACAGAAGGGGCACCCTGATTGGAAAGATAATCTGAGGAGGCCCCACCAGTTAGGCCATGGTTCCCTCACTCTTGGTTCTGATATAAAACCAGAGGACCAAATCTAAACTCCCATTTGTTTCTGGAACTGACCGTGAGATGGGAAGGCAGCACACACCCACGGCTCTGTGATGGCCCTTAGCACAAGCCCGTCTCTCTGCACCAGTTCCCACTCCTCACTCCCCATTTCAAGAGTACCCTGAGATGAGAATCTGGGTCTTTGTGTAGTCTCAGCTCCTTGACACACAGTAGGTGCCCTACAGATGTTGCTGAATGAAAGCAATGTGACCCTCAGACACTGAACAGTAATAGTGGCTAATGTGTATGTAAAATCTTTTCTATGCTAGGAGCTGTGTACCACAGACATTTTACTCATTGGTTCGTGTGAACTTCACAACAACTCTGCCAACTTGATATTTTTATCCCCATTTGTCAGATGAGGAGTTTAAGAGATTGAGTAACTTTCCTGATGTCACAGAGCCTGTCAGCAACAGAATCTTGATTCGAATCCACGTTTACCATCAAAGCCTCAGCTTTCTCCACCACACATGCTGCTGGTTCTCCCAGAGAGTACACGGGACAGTAAGGAAGCTTGCTGCTAGACAGCTGTGGAAAGGCAGTCATAAACTAGATGCCTAAGGCACACAGGGCTTTCCTGGCAGGAGACATGACAAGGTCCTCTCTGCTGTGTGAAACGGTGAGGCTGTGAGACTTTGTCTCAAAGCGGAAGGAACACACAGGGCGTCTTCACTGTAACCTACCTGCAGCAGGTGATCTTGCTACTTGATTTGTATTTGGAGACAGACTTCTGTTCAGGAGACCACATGCCTTCAAAACCAAATAAGCAGCAGCATTATTACTCAGAAATAAACCAGGAACAAACTACTGCTATACCCCAAACTTATCAGCACCTCCAGGGCATATAGTGGGTTATCTTGGTGGTGCTAGCTGAGCTCTGTGGGGACCTCTGTGGAGATTACATACACATGTGGTAAAATGACACAGAACCATACTTTCATGTGGTGCCAGGGCTAGGAACCTGGTTGTGATACTGTACAATTTGTTACAGAAGCTGGCACCATTGGAGTAAGTTTTATAGTAGCTTTGCAACTCACTGTGAATCATTAAAAAAAAAAAAAAAAAAAAAAAGCCAACTTGTAAATTTCTGTTTAACTGAATAAAAATTCAAGTCTCGACTTGGAATACCGAAGATTCTCTGGGCAAAATATTGAACGATGCATAAAGCATCAAAAGAAGATGGAAGGAATACACAGAGTCATTGTACCAAAAAGAAGTAGTGGATGTTTAACCATTTCAAGAGGTAGCCTATGATTAAGAGCCACTGATACTGAAGGACGAAGTCGGAGATGTACTTAAGGGAACAAGAAGACAAAGAGCCTCAGGAATTGATGGAATACAAACAAATTGGAATCGCTCAACAAGCGGACGCAGCACTGGAAGCACTCACTCATCTATGCCAAGAAATTTGGAAGACAACTTACCTGGCCAACTAACTGGAAAAGATTCCTTCCTATTTGAACCCATTCGAAAATGACGTGACCCAACGGAATGTGGAAATCATCAGACAATATCATTAATATGCAAGTAAAATTCTGCTAAAGATAATCCAAAAACGGCTGCACCATACATTGACAAGAGAACTACCAGGGTTTCAGGTAGGATTCAGATGAGGACAAGGAACGAGTGGTTATCACTGCTGATTTCAGATGGAGCTTGGCTGAAAGCAGAGAATATCAGAAAGATGTTTACCTGTGCTTTACTGATTACACAAAGGCTTCTGATTGTGTGGATCATGACAAGCTATGGACAACACTGTGGAGAATGAGTAATTGTGCTCATGAGGAAGCTGTACATGGACAAAGAGGCAGTCTTTGGAACAAAACAAGGGAACACAAAGTGGTTTAAAATTAGGAAAGGTGTGTGCAGGGTTGTATTCTTTCACCATACTTATTCAATCTGTATGCTGAACAAATAATCCAAGAAGCTGGATTGAAGAAAAACTGGCATCAGGACTGGAGGGAGACTCACTAACAACCTGCAATATGAGGATGATACAACCTTGCTTGCTGAAACCGAACAGAACTTAAAATACTCACAGATAAAGATCAAAGACCAAAGCCTTCGATATGGATTGCATCTCAATATAAAGAAAACAAAAGTCTTCACCACTGAACCAATAAACAACATCCATATAAATGGAGAAAAGACTGAAGTTGTCAAAGCCTTCATTTTGCTCAGATCAACCATCAACACTCATGGAAGCATCAGTCAAGATATCAAATGATATATCGCATTAGGCAAATCTGCTGCACAAGACCTCCTTAAAGTGTTGAAGAGCAAGATTCAATTTGATGACTAAGACGTGCCAGACCCAAGTCATGGTATTTTCAATAACCTCATATACATGTGACAGCAGGACAGTGAATAAGGAAGACTCTAGAAGAATTAATGCCTTTCAGTTACAATGTTGGAGGAGAATATCAAAAGTACCTTGGACTGCCAAAAGACCAAACCAATCTGTGTCGGGAGTATAGCCTGACTCCTCCTTGGAAGCTAGGATGGTCAGACTTCATCTCTCATACTTCGGACATATTATCAGGAGGGACCAGTCACTGGAGAAGGATATCATGCTTGGTAAGGCGGAAGGTCAGAGAAAAAGAGGAAGTCCCCCAGCGAAATGGATTGGCCAAGTGGCAGCAGCAATGAACTCAAACATGGAACAAGTGCGCAGGACTGGGCAGCATTTTGCCCTATTGTGCACAGGGTAGCTATGAGTCAGTATCAACTTAATGGTACCTAACAACAACAGAATGCCTCCTCACACAGTCTCACCTGTGCGCATGCGCATATTATCTGTTCTACTGAGCCTGCCAAAGACTCCAGCCAGAACAGACTCCTCTTCGGGGTTGGGTGCTTCACTTCCCTCAGAGGTGCTCACGGCCTGGGTTCAAAGCCCATCTTGGTGACTTCCAACGTATCACGAACCTGCTGTAAGTCCTAGCTTTTTTCCTCAGTACAGTGAGAATAGGAGTTACAGCAAACCTCAGGGATTGGCATGCACTTTAGACAGGAACTAATTTTTAACTCTTAACATAGTACCTAGCACCACATGTTCAACAGATACTATTATTACTTAATATTACACTGTTTCCTCAAACAAAAACCCTATCTTGCCTTTTTAATATCCAAAGTAAGCACAGAAACCAATGCCTCACATGGAAAAAATGCTAAATGTTGTTTTAAGGAATCACAGTCCCTTTCCCTTTCATCTGTACAAGAGTTTTCAATTACATTCTCACTTAAACCTCTGTACTCTAAATCGGAGGTTGACAGGGTAAGTAATCGCCTTTTAGATCATGAAACTGAAGAAGAGGGCTGAGGTCTCTGACTCCTTGTCTAATGGCCATCCCAGTGTATCCTGAGATCCCTTAGCAAGAAGGACAGAACTGATTGATGGTACTGAAAATCAGAGGTGTGACTTTTCACATCCTTTGTAGCCTCTGCCCACCTTCCTCCACTCTCCTATCAGTCTGTCGTACTGTGGTACCTTGGGTGTTGCTGTAATGCTAAGAAGCTATGCCACCAGAATTTGTGAAACCTTTCCCATGGTGGAAAGATTTCAGTGGAGCTTCCAAACTAAGACAGACTAGGAAGAAGGAGAGGTGGACCACTTTTGAATGGTTAATAACGGAAAACCTAACTAGCAGTAGAAAATGTCTGACACGGTGCCAGAAGATGAGCCCCTCAGGCTGAAAGGCACTGAAAACACAATGGGTAAGAGCTGCCTCCTCAAAGTAAAGTTGATCTTAAAGACTTTTGAGACCTTCATTTCCTGATGGGGCACAATTCAAACTGAGAAGAGTGAGCTAGGAGAAAGATAACAGATGGGGTAGAAAGGCTGTACAGGCTCTCAGCAGTAAAGGTACTCCTGGAACTCTGAGATTCAGAGCAAGGGATAGAAAAGAGGAGCGAGTGCTTACTGGGAGAAAGATTTGAAAATACATGGCAAGAAAGGAAGTGACTGACAAGAAAACATATTCACATTGTAAAAACCTATCTGTGTTTCACTGAGATAAAGGTGAGACCTTATTTCATTTTTTTTTCCTTTTTCCCCAACCAGCGTACAACTGCAGGGAATCTCCCATGCTCCAGGTGGCTGGAGTCACTGGGAAGTTGTGAGCCCTAGGAAAGTGCTATATACAATAGAGCAGGCTCGGCTACAGATCTGCAAAGCTGACCCTGGCCAGTCCTAGACTAGCTCTCACTAGGTGAGGGGGCTGAAGGGACCTGTGGGATTGAGGAAAAAAGTGGGGGAGGAGGAAGGAGGTAGGCAGGCAATCTGTGAGGGACAGCCAGATACAGCATGGCTACTTTGAACTTCCTCAGGTAGCTGTGAAGGCAAGAAGCCAGTACGTGATGCAGGATACCACTTATTGGCAGAGAGAAGGCCGGTGACTTTCATTTTTAGCTGTGTGAGGATTCCCCCCTCACCCCCATCTCCTTGCATCACATAAAAGGAGACAGCAACTGTGGCTATACAACCAAACCACAGTTATACCCTCTACAACCCCACTAACTGGGCAAGAGTCAATACCAGTTGTTATACACAGAGCAGTGACTACAATCAACACTGGCTAAATCCACTCTGAATTGAATGGTGTAAACAGTGAACGAGAAGCTCATCTCCTGATCATATCCCCACCAGGAGGCAATTGCTGAGTTCCTAAAACTAAACAAACGTACATTAGCTTAATACAAATACAACAACACCACATTGCCTAGAAAACAGCAGAAAGGTTCTGTTCACATTAAAAAACAACACAAACTAGCTCAAACAAACGACCAAGAGGCAGAGCTAGAAAATGCCTCTGAGGAAGAAGAAACATTGGAACTACCTGAAAAAGAATTTAGGAGAAAGATATTAAGGAACATCCAAATGTTTCACAGGAAAGGCAAGGAAAACAAGGAAGAAATCAGAAAAGTGCTGTAGGAACAATCAAACAAAATATATACAGCACTAGGACTAAGGTGCGCCTGACCCAAGCCATGGTATTTTCAATAACCTCATACGGATGCGAAAGCTGGACAGTGAATAAGGAAGATCGTAGAAGAATTGATGCCTTTGAGTTGTGGTGTTGGAGGAGAATACTGAAAGTGCCATGGACTGACAAAAGAACCAATGGATCTGTTTTGGAAGAAGTACAACCACAGTGCTCCTTGGAGGCCATGATGGCTAAGCTTCATCTCTCCTACTTTGGACACATTGTCCGGAGAGAACAGTCGCTGGAGAAGGATGTCATGCTGGGTAAGGTGGAGGGTCAGAGAAAAAGAGGAAGACCCCCAATGAGATGGATCAGCCAGGTGGCATCATTGATGGTGTCAAGTGTGGCAGCGGTAGTGAGGCTGGCCCAGGATCGGACATTGTTTCGTTCTGCTGTGCATGGGGTCACTATGAGTTGGTTCTGACTCGATGGCACCTGACAACAACAACAACAGAGACTATACAAAGCCTGCAAACAGAAATCTAGAAGATCAATTCTAAGATACCAGAAATGGACAATCCACTAAAAGGGCAAAGGAATCAAATTGAAGCAATGGAAGTCAGAATTAGCGAGCCTGAAGATAAATCTCTCAAGACTAGTAAACTAGAAACACAATCAGAAAAAAAATGAAGACAGATTAAGATTCATGTGGGACAACATGAAAAGGAATAATCTACAGGTGATCAGAATCACAGAACATGAAAAGACAAAGAAAACCAGAGGAAAGATAATTAAACAGCTGCTGAAAGAAAATTTGCCTAACAT